TCTTTATTATTCCAGCCTTAGAGTGTTCTGCTTGTGGGGAGGTTTTTAACCACAAACTCAATTTCTATACTACAGATATAAGCCAAAACCCAAACCTGCTGCCATCGAGTTGATTCCCACTCATAGCAGGTTTCTGAGATTGTAAATCTTACAGAAGCAGACAGCATCCTTTTTCCCCACAAAGTGGCTGGTAGGTTTGAACTGCCAGCTTGTGGTTAGCAGCCTACCACCTAACCCACAGTTCCAGCAGGGCCCTTAAGAATAGATATCCGGCAGTGCCATTGACTTCTCCTGAGGAAGCTTTGCAAGTTTAACGGTTATTCAAAGGTGGTGACTATATTTTGGTTTTAGTGTCCTCATAATGACCCTGTAGAGAGTTTCCGAGGAGTGGCTGGTGGCTTTGAACCGTTGACTTGCAGTTAGCAGGCCAGTACTGTCCTGCAGCACCACACCAGGATTCTAGCCTCATTGACTGCTTGGTTTTTTATCAGTTTTATTTTCTTTATTGATTTCTGCTATTGTCTTTATTAATTTCTTCTGCTTAGGAATTATGGGTTTAATGATCCTTTTTCTGCTTCTTAAAAATAAAAGATCAAATAATTAACTGACTTGAGGCTTTTCTTCTTTTGTAAGGGAACCACTTTCTGGCACCCATCGCCCTTCCGAGGTGCTGTTAGCCCCTCCTGAGGCTTGTGTAGGCAGTGTCTTCATTGGCATTCAGTGCAAAGATTATTGCTTACTCCCTTGTAATTACTTCTTTGACTTATGGTTACCAAAAAATGTGATGCTTAAGATATTTTGGGAGTCAAGTCTTTCTAGTTGGTTTGTTTTCAGTTTTTAATAAAATCCATTTTGCTTTCTCTATTCCTGTAATTTAAGGAACCCTAGTAGTATAGTGGATTATGAGCTGGACTGCTAACCACAAGGTCAGCAGTTCTGTTTGAGTTCATTGAGTTTAGAGAACATATTATGTATGATTGTAATTCTCTTAAATTCATTGAGAAATACGTTATTCTCTAAAATGTATTCCGTATGCTCTTGGTAAAAATGGGGTTTTGTTTTGTTATTGGTGTCCTCTATAAATGGGAATCGACTCCTGGTATGGTGCTGTAGGATCAGCACTGGACTGCAAATCAAGGTCGGCAGTTCAGACCCACCCAATGTTCATTAGAAACCCTATACAGGATCGCTGTGAGTCAGAACTGACATGATGAATGGCACTTAACAACTACAATAACTGGGAATTAGACCTATTTGTTCCGATAGTGTTTGTATATTTTCTGTGTGTATAGATGTTAGTCTACTTGTTTCATCAGTTACGAAAGAAGATATTGGCATATCCAACTGTAAGTTGGTATTTCCTCTTTTTTCTTTTCCTTTTTTCAGTTTATATTTAAGTACTCCGAGGCTGTTATAATGTACACACTCATTTAAAATTGTGTGTCCTCCTGACCTGACCCAGCTGCTCTTCTGTATCTTTAATGACTATTCCTTTTTCGATGGTGTATTTTTTTCTAGATTAATAGAGCCCTTCCATCTCCTCTTAATTGGTGTTTGCACAGTTTATCTTTTCTATCATTTGACTTTTAGCCTT